TTACTCTCTTGTAACACCTCTAATCTTCGGCACTTATATAAACTTATTGTGTTGCAAGTGCTGTAAAACTCTTACTAAAACATCTTGAACAACTCTATTCTTCAGCACTTATATAACCTTATTGTGTTGCAAGTGCTGCAAAACTCTTACTAAAACATCTTGAACACTTCTATTCTTCAGCACTTATATGACCTTATTGTGTTGCAAGTGTTGTAAAACTCTTACTAAAACATCTTGAACACCTCTATTCTTCAGCACTTATATGACCTTATTGTGTTGCAAGTGCCGTAATGCACTTACTAAAACAAAAACAAAAACAAAAAACAACTTAAAACAAAACAAAAAACCAAACAAGAAGGCAACTAAACAAAGCGACAATGTCCGAGGCCTCGTATTTGGTAACACCACAATGACTCTGAATGACTGTGCGGGCACCGGATATTGAAGTCTTGACTGATGCATGCCAAAAGTAGGAAGGAAGTCAAGAGCTATGACGCAGCGAGGAAATAATGGTTACCGAAACAATCTCGCTGACCGGAAACTACGTCAATAAATAAATACAGCAGCAGATGTCCACAATATTATCAGCAGCCGTTGCTGACTTTCTGATACTTTCTGATACTTTCTGATGCTTTCTGATGCTTTCTGATACTTTCTGATACTTTCTGATGCTAAATGGTTCTTGTTCGAACGCCACAATTTGGATATAACAGTAATTGTTATTTTTGTTTGTTTGATTCGTGGTTTTCTCTTGTTGTTGTTGGTTGTTGTTTTTAAAAAAATATCATTTTCTTGTTTTGGGGTTGGGCGGTTGCTTAACATCTGTTATGTTGATTTATAAGCACATTTCAAAAATGATAATGCACCTTGCCTCCAACAGTGCGTTGGATCTGTGAGGACTGCAGGAATCCATCCAAAGCTGTCAGTGTCAGGATGCCACAACCGTGCTTCTTCCACAACGATGCCCGGAGTTATGGCATGCAGGAGAAGTAAGCGGTTTGCGACTGCTACAAAAAATACGTCA